TTTCCCTAATCTTAACTTTTGTGGTTTGTTAATTTAAGGTACTAATATTATATAAAAACAAATTCAATTGCAAATAGCATTTTGTGTTTATTTGTGAGAACTTTTCATGCTAACATTTTTTCTAAATACTAATTTCCTAACACTTAATACAAAAAACATCATGTGCATAAAATATTTTAGATGTTTGTCCAAAATTGGCAGTATTTAAATTAATTTGTAGAAGTAATCTACTTTGTCATAGCTTCACAAAAGACCTGGTGGAAAGAGGGGAAAAGTCTTTTGTACATGGCAGGACATTGTTTTTTCTCACTCCAGAACATGTTTTTCTCAACAAGAACTGATTTAAATTCCTCCCTCCAATTTATTGCCCTGTGCAACAGTCTCTTGTATATTGCCAGTTTTGGCCATTTGTTAAATTTCAGTAAGTCATAACTAGTACATAATGCATGCCTCCATTAATTAACTAAATCAACAGATATACATTGAGTGTGTCTCATATGCTCAACAGTGGTTTTTGTGCTGTATATTTTATGATTGAAAAACACCTAGGAAATCTTGCAAATCAAGAAAAAATGACTCAGAGGCCAGAAGTGGTGGCACACACTTATAATCCCAGCACTTGGGAGGCTAAGGCAGAAGAATCACTGAGAGTTGAATGCCAGCCTAGGCTACAAAGTGAGTTCAACTGAGCTTCATAGTGAAACTCTTTCTCAAAAACAAACAAACAAAAAAATTAAAAGCAAATGATTCATATATTGTGATATTCAGGTAATATCAAAAGAATTGGTGGAAAGTTAAAATATTGATTTATGAATCTCTTACAGGGAAACTTTGAAGAAAAGTCCAATTAACATCTAATTTCTTCAGTTTATCAGATTCTATGTAATAAGATGATAATATATGCTAAAAATTCTAACTTACATAAAATACAGTTTATTTTAGATAGTAGCTTTTACAGAAGCCAAAGTGGATCTGAAATTAAAATAACTCAAAATGAATCTGAAATAGAATCCAAAATCGTTATGAAAATAAATTGTTCAACATATCTGTAAGCTTTTTCTACAACTGAATAGTTTTTTAAATCAAATGAATACTTTTTTCATATGTAATACTGTGTGATTAACATAACAGAGACTAGATTATATAAAAGAAAATTTAGCAAAAATTATGTTTAAAATCCCATAAGTTATCCATAAATGTCCAAAATAACATGTCTTCTTGTCTATGTACAACTGGCAGAGTAATTAGTATATACAATTTATAATTAATATTCTTATATGTAGTGTCTTCTTAAAATGATTTTGCATCAAACAGATAAATGTATTATAGCTAGATTCACAAACTTCAGCTATGCATAAAATGTGACTCTAGTTTACATCTAAATAAGTGGTTATCACTGCTTTTAATATGTACTCTGTCAACCATGTGACATAAATTTTCAGCAGTAGGCCCTTCCTTGCAATTACATTTTAAATTGCGATTCTCTGTTAGATTCAGCCAGGCCACTTTGAGAGGCAGTTTTGAGATGGGGATAAAGAAGGATATTCCCGTTATCTCCAAAATGTCTTTTAAGGTATTTTATACTTTTCTATCTCATGCTACTGCCTTTCTTTTGAAATATGTTTTATATTTCTTTTCTCAACTCCTACCTCCAGTATCCTAATTTCACGTCTGGATGACTATTATAAAAGTTGCCATCCTACTAATACCTCACTATGCACACATAGGTGAGGTAAGCTTTTTAATGTATAAAAATATAATTCTGATCAAATACTATATATGCTTGAGAACTTTCAAAGGCTCCTCATTTTGCACAGAATTATGTATAAATATACGTGTTTTTCATACCATAGATCAAGGTTCAATGTACAAGAGGGTATAATTTTGCCATATTTTGTCCTCCTATTGCACTTTATTTATTGTATCTCTGTCTTGTCACTTATCATAGTTTTCTTTGTACTTATATTATTCATGTACCTGTCTATCTCTTGTTCTCAATTATAGTTCTTGCCTTTTAGGAAATGATGTTTTACTTATCTTTTTATATTCTGTACCACATAAAATGACACCTTATATACAAGATATATCTGGTGAGCATTTAAACATTTTAGATTAGTTACTTTGGAAGTTGTATATACTTAATAACACTCAATTTACAAGAAACGTTTTGAAATTTTCCTCCAATTTCTTTAAGGGCCTGTTAAATTCTTTTAAATGATTTCAGTGCTGACAAATCACCATTTGAGGGAAAATTAATGAGGTAGATCTCTGTGTAAGATATGAACTGACAAGTCCCAAAGTTCTCAAAATGCTTTCAACATTGGCAACAATATTGTTATGAGTTTACAATATCCTTAAATTTTCTACTTTAAAATATACAACATTCATTTGGATATACAAATTCTAACATATTTGTTAAATCAGATTTTTTTCCTTGTAGTTTTATTTTACAGTTTTTCCAGTCAGGCCTTTGAAAGTGTATTTAGAATTGAAATATTTAAATGAGATATTTATTGCCTTCTTCATTTAGGTACAGTATTTTATACCTTCTACTGAATGAGAAACTTTTCATCAATATTGCACCAAAAAATAACCTCACCAAATTGAGGAAACATTTACCTGTGCTATGACTGAAAAAATTTTACAAATTCAACTTTTTCTGCCTTGCTGTTCTTGAGTTTTACCAGAAATGTAAGGAACTGAGGAATAGATTTGAAGTAAACAGTACTGACTAGTTCAATGTAGAGTGTGAGTATCATGTAAATATTTAATAGTTACTGATTTGAGGTTCTATTTTATTGATACTTCATTTGGTTTAACCTGTATTCTTTAGAGGTTCTATGTGCCCAGTTTTGAAAGATCTTCACTAATGGATGGGAATGTGTGCAGAGATAATTCAAAACAATTGAATATCTTTGTTTTTCCAAGAGTATATTGTGAGATCATTTTAGCAGATTTCACTTCTTCACTGAAGCTAACAATGAGCTGACATTGAAAAATCAAGCATGTATTGGTGGAAAAAATAGAAAATACACAGTGTGAAGAAGTTTTTTTACAAACAAAACATTTTATGATCATTTAAAAAATCAGTTATTTATATTTTATTGGAACACCTTCACATTTAGTTAATTGACATTTTACTGTAATGAGATTTTTCCTTGCGTGAAATATTTTTGTACTTATCTTTAAAAGTATTATTTGATTTTATAACATTTTTAGCCTCTGCTTTGCATATTGGTATGCCTGGATCTGAAAATAAAAATGAGAGGTTTATTGTCCAGGGATAGTTATAATTTAACTGAAATTTAAATGCTTGAGGATATTACTTACCTTTCTACATTGACTACATAATAATCAGTTCTTATCTATGGACATTACCATATAGGCCATCACTGAATACAAGGTACCAAAAAAAAAAAAAATTCCATTGAAAGCATTATCACTATCACTACCTACTAAGCCTGATTTGATTAGTCAACCTCTCAGAAGAAATGTATTTTGGGTGGAAAGAAAGGGCAATTGAAGAATATGGAGTAGTACACAATCCTTCTGTGTCCTATGACAAAGTATCATTAAGCCCCGAGTATCTCGAACCAGTTTATAGGATCACGGTGGTCTTTTGTAAACCTACACAGAATTCTGCTCAAAAATATCTATTTCCTTGCATACAACTTTTCTGAAGAAATAAGGTATTGTTAGCCATTTCTTTTTTTTAATTTTACTTTTAATTTTTAAAATTAGTACATTAGCATAATAATTGTATTTCTTTGGGAGTAGGTACATTTACATAATGCATTTTAATTCTATTTTCATTCCTTTCGCTTCCTAGAAATCCCTCCTCCCCCACCTCTTGGAACACTTCCAAGTAGATTTTACTTTATTTTTATTTATTTCTTTTTAAGAACAGAATATATTTATTGAGGGAAAGAAAGCTTCTGTCCCAGAGAGGGACAGAAGGGGGCCCGAATGAGTTGCCCTAGATTTTACTTTAAAAGGGACAATCATACTGATAGATAAGATTTTATAGAATTATTGTTTAAATTCTAGATATGAGTGCACAGGCTACTGACTATTGAAATAGATATATCCTTAGATATAGTACTGCTTCATTCGTTAAAGTCAAAATCTTTCAATATTTCTGGAAATTAATTAGAAAGTATTTATTTGAATGTGAAATACTCATGGAATATGAAACAAATATCCACTCAAGGTTACAAACTATAAATTTTCACTACCCACATTAAATAAGCCCTAGAGTGTAACTCACAAAGAACAAATTTTATTGGATACAGTCGTATACACAGAGATTTGATGTAAAAATGATAAATCATTTTTTTTCCTTTTTCAATCATATATTATTTGTAGAAAAAATCATTTTAGTGATCTATTAAAATGTGCATTTTACCATTTATTAAGAAAGAGTATAGGGCATACGAATAGACTTATAATGTGGCCATGGCTTGGAGAAACAGTGTTTCAATCACTCACACTGTAAGCTTAAGATTTGTAATAACAAAGCATAGGTACTAATGGTTATATTAGTCAGTGATGATTTTCCAAAGTAAACACAAGTAATATATTTAAATAGCTTATAGCATAGAGTTTTCATAATAAGGTAATCTCTTGCTTTGTATTGATACCTTATTTAAAAAGTGTTTATTCAATATTTCTTGTAACATTTTCAAATATTTGACAGAACATTACGTTTTTATGTTAATTGTATTGTCCATGATTTTCAACAACAGAACCGCAATAATTCCAGAGCCGCACAGTGCCCTAGAAACTTTCTTGAATTTCCAGAGGAACATTACACCACTATTAAATTGTTTCACAGAAGAAACTTCTTTAAATATGTTGACTTCAATAAGCAAACATTGTCTGCAGAACATGCTCTGAAATGAAAAGTGTCTTGACATCATATGTGGATTCTTTGGTGTTAGTCAACATTCCAAGTAGTGTCAATGTTTATCTTACTGAGATTCCATTTGTTGTTTTCACAGATTTCAGGAAACCTTACTGTGCCTTGGATTACAGGGTGTTCTAGAAAAAGAGCAGTAAGTAATCTTTCATTTAAAGCAACAAATGGGTTTCCTTTCATGTTGTTTGTAGAAATGCTATTGAGAAAATTGTCATGATTTATATGAAACTGGCCAAACATAAACTTAATAAGGCTGAACTGTCTTTAGGGCATATGTTGAGATCATAATATTTATGTATAATACAAAGGTAACCTTATGTCATATATAATAACACACTGAATAATCTTTGTGGTTTCTTCTGCTTTTAAAGAATTTAAAGATAATGAAATACCATCATTCTGCATTCAATTTGCTTGATTAATTTGATCACACTTTTGAATGATGATTGGTGTAAAACATGTAAATAGATGTAAAGAATTTAACATTTTAGTGAAATTCAATATTCAAAGGTGATGAGTAGCTAATGTTTAGCAAGTTATTTGTCATCTGGTTCTCTGCTGCAACTGCTGTGATTGTTACAATGTAAACAACAGAACTTCAGTGAAATTGTAGTTTCTGAAAAAAAAAAATCTAATCTACTTAGTCTGCACAGAACTCATAAATCTGAATTTTAACAAGTGTCCCAGGATATGTTGATGCAACTTATACATAGATAGAAACCTTTTAAAGATTTTAATTTTTGAAGAGACATGAAAAGACTTTTAGAAAAAGAAAAAAAAAACTAGTTACCATATAATGAACAGGTTTATGGACAAATAAAATTAGAGCTAGAATTTCAGTACTGGGTAAGATTGTATAGAAGTATAAACCCTGAAAATAATACAAGAGACTCCAAGAAAGAATTCTGAAAAGTGGAGAGATCATGAAGTTTTAGGGACTCTAGCACTTAAAGGAATCATAAATTATTTTATTCTCAATCTAAAACTGGAAGGCTATCCAAGATAGGCAACCAATGATCCCCAACCTATCAAGAGAAAAAGGGTTTGGATAGGCTCATTTGTTCCCCAGATGGAGCAGGAGTCTCATAAATACCCTGAAGTGAGCCTGGTAACATTGGCAAGGGAGAAGAACTGAACGCCCCCCCCCCCCACTGACATTAAACAGCTACGGAAACTACCTACCTTTCACACTGGATCTAAATCGCCCTTTATTCACCTGTAGGAACCAGGCAACCATCCCAAGGCGCTTACTGCAACAAAGAACATACTGATCTGGGGAATCTTTTTTCTTTATAAACTGCGCAGGGTTTTCTGCCACCTAGAGAACCAGGTAGGTGGCTGGTTAGCAAAAAGAAGAGGAATCAAGCCCCAACAAACTTGCAGCCCAGGAAATTCTCTGTCCATCCCTGATAAATAAATTCACTTTTCTACCTAGAGACAATGGTCTGATAGGGGGAATAAACAGGAGAGATCAGTTTACAGATGTCTGGCCTGATTAGGGTCTTTCTGCCCCTTCGGTGGCACTACCAAGAATCAGTGGAAGCCTTGGTTATATTGAATAAATGATGCATATTAAAATAATACCAGAGACAACATGATAACTTACATGATAAGGCATCATTGTAAATATAAAACATAAGTAGTGCAGGACCTGTGGACTAAACGTAATGGAGTGATTACTTCCTAAAATAAAAACATTAAATAATACTTAAGGTCTAGTAAGGTAATGGTCAAAATACCCTTGAAAACAATGGAAAATCACCCATTTTATAAAGAAACAGCAAAATCATAGCTTAAATGCTAAAAGTCGATCAACACAAATACTCAGGATGAGTCAGATAATGGAATTATCTGAGAAACCTTTTAGAACACCATTTAAAAAGTGCTTCAGCAAGCAATTAGAAATTATTTTAAAATGAAAATATCTCAGGAAAGCAGTGGTAATTATCAAAAGAATCAAATCAGATTTGCAAAACTGAATAATACAACTAGGATGGAAACCTTGTGAGATGGCTTAATATGAGGTTCAAGACAGAAGACAGAATAATTGAGCTTAAGAACAGATTAAAAGAATTCAAACAAAGGCTACAACAAAGTATTTCCAGTTTATTTTGACTGAAGAGTCAATTTATTGTATGTTAACTGTATAGCAGTAAACTTTAGAAAATGAATAGTTAACCTATTGGAAAACCTGGTATTTGAATACACTTTTTCAACTGTAAAATTTTGTGAAATTTAAATGTATATATAGTGTAGGTGAAGAAAATTGACATTTCCTGTCCTTCAAAATGACATTTCCAGTAAGCGTAAAACACACATAAAATTTCAAACACAACGTGGCAAATGTGGTAGGAAAACTTAACTAAGATCTTAAAAGTTTAAATGCATAATAGAACAGAGTGTGTCGCCCCTGGCTGGGTTAAACCCCGGACATCTTCGGGAAGCCCGGTGAGTCTGGGCTCTGCCTTCCTGAGCAGCGTGCAAGGCAGGCGAAACCTCAGGCACCCTCTGGAGCCTTGGTGGCTAGCCACCACACCCATAGTGTGTCACCACAGGCTGGGGAAGCCCCGGACATCTTCAGGAAGCCCAGTGAGTCTGGCTCTGCCTCCCTGACCAGCGTGCAAGACAGGCGAAGCCTCAGGCACCCTCTGGGTGCACTATGGTGCCACACCCTCAGTGCCTCTTCTGGGGCTGGGCCAAAAGTCAGACACCTTTAGGAACCTGGTGAGCCACTCTGGTGCCTCCCCCACTAGGGGTGAGTCATGTGGATCCCTGGACAAGTTCTGGGGCCCTGGTAGTCACTGCCAGAAAAAGTCACACCACCCTGATAGCTCAGCTGAAATCTGGAGCATAGACTCCTCGGGTAGTTCAACCTCACCCCCACCCATCCCCTTCCAGTGTGGGAAGCAGGCTCTGTCCTGGGCAATATCTGAAGCCTTGGTGAACTCGACCTGCATCCCCTCCCCTACTCTTGTGGAAGCTGGACCAAACCCCAGACAGTCTCAGGAACTCCGGCAAGCCTCGCCTGCCCTTCCCACACACTCCTGGGAGCCAACTGAATGCAAGAAAGCTCAGAAGCATCTGGGACCACACCTTGCCACCACTCACCAGCACAGGAGCTACACTGAGCTCTAGGGATCTTCAGACTGTCGCCCTGCCACTCACACACAATCAGGACAGTGAGATTGCAGTAAGGGAGTCTCTGGATCTTCAAAAATGACAAAATGAAGGAGCAAAGTGCAATCTCAGACCTCCACACCACCCAAAATAAGTCCAGGAAGCATCACAAAGAAGAGCCTGAAAGTCATACACCTGAAATTTCTGAAATGATAGCAACTGAAGTAAAGAAAAAGCTCCATCAGGCCATAGAAGACGTCAGGTCAGAAATAACACTTCAGGTGATAAAAGAAATGACAACAATAATGAAAGAAATGTTCAGCATATCCAATGATGACATAGACAAGAAAACAGAAGAGCATAGACAAATCAATGAAACATTCAGGGAACAATATAAAAAAGAACTAGAAGGTATGAAACAGATGCAAACAGATATCCAGGAACTTCAAAATTCCATTGAAACTTTGCAAAACTGCCTGAACGAAGCTGGAGATACACTTTTAGATCTTGAAGACAGCATTGCCACTAATGAACGTGAAAGGAGGGATCTCTTAAAACAAAAGGAATCAGGAAATAACAATTCAACAACTGCAAGATGAAGCAAAGAGAAATAATGTCAGATTAAAAGGTATTAATGAAACAGCAGGAGTCAACACAAATGACCTAAAGAGACTACTTGCAGAAATAATAGCAGAAAATTTCCCAGGCATGGTAAAGCAATTGGACATCCAGATAAGTGAAGCATATAGAACTCCAGTTAATCATAACCAAAATAAATCTACCCCCAGATATATAGTGATCAAGATCCCAGAAACTCAACAAAAGCTCAGAATATTAAAAGCTGTTAGAGAAAAGAAACAGATCACTTATAAAGGAAAGCCTATCAGAATCATGGCAGACTTCTCAAAACAAACCATCAAGGCAAGAAGAGCGTGGAGTGAAGTATCTCAGACACTGAAAGAAAACAACTTCCAACCCAGATTAATGTACCCTGCAAAACTCTCTTTCAAATTTAATGGAGAAATAAAATATTTTCATGATAAAGTACAACTGAAGAAATTAATGAGGGCCAAACCAATCCTACAAAGAGTACTAAAGGATATACTAGAAAGAGATGAAAAACACGACATCATCAAGAAAAACAACAGAGAGGAACCAACAAAAAGAGCAAGCAATTAAACAGAGGGAAAAGGGAGGATCCAACAGCAGGAAAATAGCATGACAAAGATAAGCCAGTACATATCCATTATAACCATCAGTGTAAATGGTCTCAATGCACCCACCAAAAGAAGCAGACTTACAGAGTGGATTTGGAAACAAAACCCAACTATATGCTGTATACAAGAAACACATTTAACTAAGAAGGAAATTCAAAGACTGAAAGTTAAAGGATGGGAAACAATACTCCATGAGACAGGAACCCAGAAAAAAGCGGGTGTAGCTATTCTGTGTGCAGACAACGTGAACTTCAAACCAAGCACAGTCAAAAGAGATAAAGAAGGTCACTACATACTTGTGAAAGGGAAGCTTCAAGAGGAAGAGATAACAATTGTAAACATCTATGCACTGAATATAGGAGCACCCACCTATATAAGACAAATTCTAACAGACATGAAAAATGAAATGAGTAGCAACACAATCACAACAGGGGACTTTAACACACCATTGTCACAAAGAGAGAGATCAACTGGACGAAAAATTGGGAAATAAATAACAGAACTTAACCAAACGTGTGAACATATGAACTTAGTAGACCTTTACAGCCTGTTCCACCCAACAGCATCAGAATACACATTCTTCTCAGCTGCACATGGGACGTTCTCTAAAAGAGACCATATACTGGTATATAGAACATGTTTAAGGAAATGCAAAGGAATTGAAATTATCCTGCATATACTATCAGACCATACTGCAATGAAATTGGAAATTAATGACAAAAGAAAACACAAAAACTCCACAAACAGTTGGAAATTAAATAACATCCTCCTGAACAGCCAATGGGTCACAGATGAAATCAAA